CAAAGTCATTTATATTGCCAGAAAATTGCTATGTATGTGGTCTGCCTTAGAACTGCTGAAATGTGAAAAGAAAGTGAAACTGAATTGACACTTGAAAACCCAGGAATACATTTTCTGTGGTAAGAATTTACCTCAAGACTGGAAACTCAGCAAAGGTAGTTTCCTGAAATTGGGCTTTGAGACTTTGGGCAAAGATATCTTTGTTTATGAGATTTATCAGTTATTAACTGGAGCAATTTGGTACCTGCAGCTAAGAGACTCATATATCTGTCTGAAAACAAATTTATTGTGCCATATATTACCAAGTAGATTTAGTGTTTCAGTTAAATCTATGGACCAATATGTTCTCATCTTTCTTCCACCTCTTCTCTGCTCTGTTTTCTCCTGTCTGCTCGATCCCTCTTCTGCTGTCATTTTAAAAATCAAAGTCATCTCCTCCATGCAGATTTTGTTAACTTTTTGAACTCTTATACAAGTCACAGAACTCATTGTATGGCTGCAGGTATAATGCATATATTCTAGTGTAGCACAAGCATAGCTACTGTAGAAACAAAAGATCAATCTTTTCCTACATCCAGTCATCTATTGTGCACCCATCCATCTCTGCTGATTACCGTACATTCATCATATTGATTTAACCAACTCTATATACAGCCTCTCCAACCTGTTTCCAGATCTTCAATCCTTTGTTGGTTCAGGCTCCCACCAAGACCACAAAATTAGTGAAATCATCTGTACATAAATTGTCAACTGCACAAATAAGGGTGCTAGAACCATAAAGACCCAGTTCAACTACTTCAATAGCTGTAAAGTGCATACTGGGGGTTTCTCTAAATATCTCCTCCAATTTCAGATCATTAGCCAGAACTCCCCAATGATTCCTAATAATATGTTGAATTTGGGCACCTGCATTGAATAGGTAAACACCACAGCTATTTTTATAGATGAAACCTTTGCAATAAAAATAAGCAGGGATGTCCTGTCTCTGGGAAAAGCTCTTTTTAGTGATTTCTCTAGTTCAGCATGAGGGTAAAGTGGTTCAACAAAGTTATCCAGCATGAGTCTGGATTCAGCTATCAAGAAGATCCAACATGTCATAATAATCTGATTGTAAGGCAGAACTGCTTTCAATATTTTTTTTATGAAAGCTATCGTACTGTAAAGATTTATATCTATTGTTAGGCTTCTAATACTGTTCTGTCACAATTTTGCCTTAAGATTGTGTTACCAAGACATGAAGAAAGTGGTCTGAGTTGGCACTAAACTCCAAAGAGCAGCTAACTGTGAGTTTCGGAACCCTACCATATGAAAAATATATTGTAAATATAGCAATGCCATGTGTAAAAATTTTGCAGAAAGGACTCATGACTATAAACATACTTTTCTTCAAAATAGGTATACAGTGCTCAGCATAACTGAGTACACCCCCTTTGAAAAATAAGATTTTAATCAATATCTCAATGAACACAAGAACAATTTCCAAAATTTTGACAAAACTGAGTTTTATAGAACATTTGTTTAGCTCATTACATGAAAGTATGGTTAATAATATAACTTAGATAACAAAATCTCCAGTTTTTACTAAAATTAGTTGATGCAAAAATGAATACACCCCACAACAAAAACTACTCCATCTAGTTTTTTTTGTATGGCCTTCGTGATTTGTAAGGACAGCACCAAGACTTCTAGGCATGGAATGAACACCCCTGGTTACATATTACAACATCTATCTTTTTTTCTATTCAAGAATGACCTCTTTAGGAGCTTGGATGCTGGATGAAGAGTGATGCGCAACTTGTCTCTTCAGAATTCCCCATCGGTGTTCGATTGGGTTCAGAACAGGAGACATACTTGGCCACTGAATCACTTTCACCCTGTTCTTCAGAAATGCAACAGTGGCCTTAGATGTGTATTTTGGATCATTGTCATGTTTCAAAAGTACACGATGATCAAGGGCACTGAGTGATGGTAGCATCTTCTCTTTCAATATAGAGCAGTACATCTGTGAATTCATGGTACCATCAATGAAATGCAGCTCCCCAACACCGGCAGCACTCGTGCAGCTCCATGGAAGGACACTGCCACCACGATGTTTCACTGTAGGCACCATGCATTTTTCTTTGTACTCCTCACCTTTGTGACGTCATACAGATTTGAAGCCATCAGTTCCAAAAACCTTTATCTTGGTCTCATCACTTCAGAGTACCAGTAGTCTTCTTCTTTTTCAGCATGGGCCCTGGAAAATTCCAGGTGGGTTTTTTTTGTGCATGGGCTTTAGGAGAGGCTTCCTTTGTGGACAACACCCATGCATGCCATTCCTCTGTAGTGTACGCCATATTGTGTCATGGGAAACAATTGACCCAGTTTGGCTTTTTACTTCTTTAGCTAACTGCAGTGAACTTGCATGGTGCTTTTCTTCAACCCTTCTCATCAGAAGATGCTCCTGTCAAGGTGTTAACATCCGTGGATGGCCTAGATGTCTCTGTGAGATGGTTGCAGTCCCATCTTTGTTAAATTTGTGTATATTTTTTTTGCCACAGTATTATGAATGATAAGTGAAGCTTTGCTGATCTTCTTATAGCCTTCACCTTTTTTGTAAAGAAATTATTTTCTTTCTCAGGCCTTGTGACATTTCTCTTTCATATGGTGCCATTGCTGACAGCATGAAATGGGAAGGGGTTTTCATTGTTAAATTACACCCTTTTATAATCAACTGTCTGCTAGACACCTTTTTAATGAATAATTAGACTCACCTGTAGTTGAATTCTTGTTAATTAGGATTTTGTTGTCTAAAAATTTAGCTTTGCTCCTAAGACTTTCATTGGGGTGTATTCTTTTTTGCAACATGGTCTTGTATTCATTTGTTAGGAAAAATACTTTTTTGTGTGTGCAAATCAACAAATCTTGTTTGCAATCAATAGGCCACATTTGTGGGAGTATTTTGTAGTATAGTGCCCCACAGAAAATGCTGATTCTGAAAGGAAAGTAAAGATTTTCTGACAAAGCTGTTGGGGTGTACTCATTTATGCTGAGCACTGTATGTTGACATAGCTAGGAGCCACATTGAAACCTATGGCTGTGCCCAGAAGATTCTGAAACAACTGGTTATTAAAAACAAAGTAGTAAACACTACCTCCAGCAACTTTATGGCAAAGTCAATCAAGCCAGCAGACAGATGTACCAGAACCCCACCTATGACCTTCAACCCTTCATCATGTGGTATGGATATGTCCAAACTATTCCTGTACATGCTGCATAGAAGGTGACTAGTTGGTAAGTTATCCAAACAGATAAAGGGTTCAAAATATCAGTGAAATCAAGGAGAAAGAGTGGTAAATCGGTCACCTTACGTTGTAATAGTTGGTCCAGGAAGATAGCTAAGGGTTGAAAAACAGATTCTGGACCAACAACGATGGGGCATTCTTGTGGATTCTGTATTACTTTGTGACTCTTAGAGAGGCAAAAAAATAGAAGTGTTTAGTGGATATTCTGTAATCAAAAATTCTTTAAGTTTTTGGTCAGCATTTTGAGTGTATTTATAGAGGCAATGCATCAATTTGAATATTCAAACTCTCTTGGCATGTTGGCATATGGGAGAAAGTGGCTACATATATGTTTTTTGGTTTTATAACAGTGCCAGTCCTTCTATCTTTGTCTTATTGCTGGGTTATGTAAGTGATTTTTGTATCTTCTTGAATAAAATATAAAATGGATGAATATAGCAATGTAATCACACTTATATATTTATACCATAGGTATCATGTCTAATATAGGCACTTCTGAGGAAGACATTGGTTGTTGTCTTGAAACGCAAGTATCCTATTATGACTTGAACCCCGCTTTCTTGCTTGTACACCAACTGTGATAGACCACCATATAACTGCCATATAACCACCATATTATGTATGTTTATTGAAATTTTAACATTTTGTGTTAAATAAAAATATTGATCAAATCTTTTATAAATCAGGCGGTTTTATCCCTTTTTTGTGCCGTGAAAATCCTCATGTGATTGTAAGCACCTCTGTCCATATTAAATGGTCCTTATCAGAACTCTTACCTAGTCTGTTAAAGGATATTAAAAATAACAGACTAACTGGCAGGATCAACAGTTGAGAAAAAAAAAGAAAAGAAAAACCACCTGAAAAAGAAAAACAGTGCAGCCACCATGTCTTAGAATTGGTAAGTTGCAATATATTACATTTACATTTAGGTTTTGGGGTTTAATACCACTCTAACCATTCCCTTCATTATTAAAATTAAATAAAACGTCTTTCCAGACATGTAAACTAAGTGAACTTATGCTGTAGTAATCTTAACAATATAGAGCAAAATAAACTGACTGCCCTGATAACTAAGTGCATCTCCTCAACAGCTTGTGAAGTTACAAGAACACAAATGATTTTTCTTTAATTTCTGTGCTAAATTTGGCTATCATAGTCAGCCATATTAGATGTTAGATACAAAGCCAAATGCGCCCAGCTCTAAGCATGCTAATTTACTACAACCTCAGAACAGAAGTAAACCACACTTTTTTCCCCTCACAGAACAACAGTTCCGTACTTATTCCCTTTCCCTCTCTTTCTCCACTGAGGAGGAAAATAATAGTTTGCCGGCTTACATGATTACGGTACATTAGGCAATATCTCATGCTTTGGTGCTGTGCTGAGTAAAGGAGGAAGCCAGAGATAGGCGAACTCCAATCAAACCATCATAGAAATTTGCACTTTGGATTTAACCTATGCATTGAAATGCTGAAGAAAATGGGCAGTATATAAGGCCTGTTTACTTATTGGTGCCTGAAAATGCATGGAGTAACGCATATGCCATGGTGATGAGCTGCACAATATTTTGAAAGTGGAAATTTTGTTGATACATTTTTATATAGTCTTATTTTAACACTTTCTTGTTTCAAGTAGTTTAAAAAAGAAAACCAGACAATTTTTAAAATTTTCCCATGCAGTGGGGCTGCACCTACACTGCGTGAGTTAAATGCTCATCGTCTTTGTTTAGGGGCTCAGAAAGTACAGATATACTTACCTAATCCGCCGATCCTTCAAGTACAAGATCAATCCCCACCGCTCCTGCCCCCCCCGTACGCTAGCGGTCTTGTGAATGGGCTGTTCCTGACGTCATCATGCCTGTAGACCAGCTCCGGATGTGAGGATGGCAGGAACAGTCCACCTCTGGATGTGGGGGGAGTGTGGTTTTCCTTAAGATCGGAGGAATGAGTAAGTATAGCTTTACCCTGAGCCCGTACACAAAACAAGCACTTAACCCATGCAGTTGCGGGCAAAGCCCCACTGCATGGGAAAATAAAATTTTACATGGAGTTCTGCTTTAACACTTGATATTTTGAGCTTGGTCATACACATATTTGACTCCTCTCTCTTCTTGTCCAGGTTATTCATCATTTTTATTGACTATGGACTTTTGGATCACAGTTGTAAAGTTCTTAGTAAGTGGTATGTGCAGGCAGCATATACCGTTGTTATTTTATTTTTTTATTTTAAACTCTTCTAGGTAATTTATTTCTTAAATAAAAAACAAAATTAGACTTTGGCTTTAAATGTCCTTGTAGCTGTGAATATACACTGACCGGCCACTTTATTAGGTATACCTTGCTAGTACCTGGTTGAACCCCCTTTTGCCTTCAGAACTGTCTTAATTCTTCGTGGCATAGTTCAACAAGGTGTTGGAAACATTCCTCAGAGATTTTGGTTCACATTGACATGAGTTACTGTTGCCTTTCTATCATCTCGAACCAGTCTGCCCATTTTCCTCTGAAATCTGTCATCAACAAGGCATATTTGTCCACACAACTGCCACTCACTGGATATTTTCTCTACAAACCATTCTCTACAAACCCTAGAGTTGGTTTTGCATTAAAATCCCAGTAGATCAGCAGTGTTTGAAATACTCAGATCAACCCATCTTGCATCAACAATCATGCCATGTTCAAAGTCACTTAAATCCCCTTCTATCCCATTCTGATGCTCGAGTTTAAACTTCAGCAAGTCGTCTTCACCATGTATACATGCCTAAATGCATTGAGTTGCTGCCATGTAATTGGCTGATTAGCAATTTGTGTTACTAAGAAATTGAACAGGTGTACCTAACAAAGTGGCTGGAGAGTGTACTTTCACTTGTAAGATAGGGTTGTTGCACTTTATAATTATTATTGTTATAGCTCTGGGAGATAACACCAGTCTTCCAAATTTTTTTCTAAAATCTTTTCCTAATGTATAATCTTTGGAATCATTATAAGGTTAAACTATAGCTTGGCATTCCTCTATTATATTTTGGTACACATTTTCAGTTAAACATTATTTACACCTCACATACTGTACTTTGACACGCAAGAAAGCCAAACTGGCTTTTGCAGAGAAATATTATTTTCTATTTTATGGTACAGATTTTATTAATCTTTTAGTGTCTAGTTTAGTCGTATTTTAGGCATTGTACCTTATACTATTAATATCAATCTCTAGTTTATGTGTGTGGTGCTTCATCTCAACTATGTCTCTCCCTTTATCAACAAGATAGATATCATTAGCGTGGCATCAACAGAGAAGCTGAGAGAGCCACCAAGAGCAAAGCAGTGTTTTCAGAAGGCCAGGCAAGTGACAATGACATAATAATTTAGTCTGGATGTTACAGATGTTATCCTCAAGTAAAACACGTCTATGGTGGAATGCAGCATCCCTGGAAGGATACTTAAAAGAATGAAGGATTCCTAGGGGCTTGAGAATAAAAAAAAGTTTTGAGGTTGTTGATGAGGATTTCAAAACACAATGGACCAAGATACCCGATGAGGCATCTTATGGTTTGATGAGACTCATGACTTCACAACAGGTTTTAGGAGAACTGAACATGGACATTAATCAGATACGTGAAGATCTTCAGTGGTTTTGTTGTTTACCTGATTTTCAATTAAGTGAAAAGAGATTAATAGAGTCCTTAGACTCCGTAGAAGATGAAATTACCAAAGTGAAAAGGTCAATAAATTGATGAGAGACAAATCAGATTACAAATGTATTGTTTATAGGTGGAGAAATACTTTAGGTATAAATAGCAGTCATGTAAGATGTAAACATTTTATTCTGAGAACCTCCTATTAACACAACTAAAAGGGTTAGTTTTTCAGAAGCACCTTCCCCTTCTTCCTCAAAATCAAGTACCAAAGAGAGAAAGAGAAAATTGAAAGACACTTTTTCTGAAGAGGGCAATTCACAACATTCGAAAAAGTTCAAGGGGTTGACAAATTGAATTGTTTCAAAAGCTGGTGGGACAAGATTTGTGACTTTTGCAGAGAAAACAAGTGTTTATTTCCACACAGTGTCGTTGCTATGGGGGTGCAGACCACACCCAGGTGACACCCACCAGAGGAGTGCCACCATCAGGGCTGCAGGGGTCTGGCTGTTCCAAGCTTCCATCTCTGCTGTATTTTTGTTTAGTAATGA